GGAAATCCTTGCTTCATATGTCGTCTACGAGACGTAATACGAGAACGTAAATTGCATAAATATTTCCGAAAGATGAGCGAGACTTTGAGCTGCGTGATACTGAACGAGTCTTCTCGTTTAGATAGCGAAGGAGCTCGCTTCGCTGGTAAAGCTCTTCAGCATGCTCTCCGGCGACTTGGCTGAGGATCGAAATGATAGTTGTCGTAAAACGGTGTTCCATAAAGCATTAGCTATAGGACGTTGCGGATTCTTTGGCCTTATTGGCACCGCCAAGTATCCCATTCGCGTTCCGACGTTCGACGTTCTTTTCAACTGGAAGCAAGCGCTCATCATCCAAAACACACTGGATGTCGCATCGACGAAGCCCGATCTTGATGTAGTCCTTTACGAAGTCGATACCAATGGTCTTTCTGCGCAATCGTTTTCCGACAGCAGAAGTTGTGAATGTTCCAGAGAAGGGGTCGAGAACCACGTCCCCAGGGTTACTGCTCGCCAAAATAATACGTTCCAGCAGCGATTCCGGTTTTTGCGTGGGATGGTCTTCGTACTCGTGCATACGGTAGCGGACACGGGGAAAATACCAGACGTTACCTGGAACCTTCTCTGTATTGTAGCGAGATGGCTTAGTTTTTCGATAGTCGATGAGGTTTCGTTCCGCTCCAGTTCGCGCTTTCACTTTGATGGCGTCGGCGTTGAAGGTGTAATTTTCTTTGTCCTTGACGCAGAACAGTATTGGTTCGTACATCGAGCCGAAGTGCCGTTTCGCCTGGACTCCTGAACTGTCGTAATGCCATACTATTCGAGATGCGATGTATATCCGTTCGCGAAGAAACAAATCAAGATGCGGAGCACACTGTGTACTGGCCATAACGTAGAGGCTGCCAGTTGGCTTTAATTTAGCGATGCACAATTCAAGCCAGCTCTCGCACCACTTCGCGTATTCTGCCTCCGACGGCCATTTATCATGAAAGTTAGCAAATTTCTTACCTATACTGTATGGAGGGTCAGCGAAGATTAGGTCAGCGGATTCGTCCGGAACCTTCTCGTCTAATACGGTTACGGCGTCGCCCCAATAAATAAGATGTCCTTCCTTCCCAAAGGTTCGAATATTTCCGTGATTCATCGGTCCCTTTTTTGTGTCTCCCATCGAGGCATGTCCTCCGCTTCCATATTGCCGGGCAATTGCATCGGCAAGAGCTCATCTAATTCTTTAGTGTGAACACCCTAGGTCACGCCGTTCATAGCCGGGTGAAACCCAAAGGACTCCTCTCCAAGCCCGGTATGATGAGCGACCGGCCTTCCGTTGTCAAGGAGACATGGCCAGGGCCAAGGCAGAACCCCCTATGCTCGTCTCTTTACCCGCTTACATCACAGCCTTGTATTACAACGACGCATTTAGGATGGGACGTTTCCCGCTGGACCATTCCCTTCTTAAAGGTACATCGGGCAACTGTCGCAGCAGTCCTTGCGCTGCGAAACTTTCCCGAAGCGGCACGTAAAGCCATCTTTCTAGGCGGTTCATTATGCTCGCCATTGCGAAGTGGTGTTTAGCACGGATCCACCGAAGGGATGTAGCCATGTTGGTCAGAGAAGGGATGATAGGCCAGGGAAAGAGACGTGAGGGCTTGATTCCGATAGATTTGGCTGAGTGCCGGGTGAGGTAGCCAGGCCAGGGGGAGGGAGGAGCCGAATCCGACATGGGTGGGGCGAGATTGCCACTTCGCCGCGCTCCTTTCGTGGGGCGGCGGGCAGTCGTTTGCTCTATCGAGATAGTCAGGTAGAATTGGCTTCGTAACGCACGGCCTTCTCAGGAGAAACAGCCCATGACCACACCCGATGAGCTGGCCCGAAGGGCCAGGGACTTTCAGGAAAATATCCCGGGCAACATAGGGACCCCTTCCATTCCGCGCGACTACTCGCAGATTCAGACGCCGTTGTCGTGGGGCGGCATCTGGCAAACCCCGGGCCTTGACCCAAAGCTTCGCGGATTCGCTACCCTTGCTGCCCTTTGCATCAACGGTTGGGATTTCGCGCTGCAATACCAGATCAGGGTCGTTCTGTCCTTGGGAATAACGCCCCAGCAAGTTAAGGGCACTTTTATCCAACTGCTCTTCTACGCGGGTATTCCCGCTACGGTAAACGGATTGCTGCAAGCCCAAAAAGTGATAGACGAGCGAGATGAATGGAAAGCCGCGGATGTTCCTCTGGAAGCAGACTGGCTGGAAACCGTCGAGGCCAAGCTGGAGCGGGCCACCGCGATAAGACAACGTCTCTGGGGGGAGGAGGCCAACCGCGAGGTGGAAGAATCGCTGGCGCAACGCATGGCGCCGGAAGCCTCGGACATAGTGGACGGGTACAACTTTGGGGAAGTATGGGCGAGAGACGACCTGTCGCCCAAAGAGCGGATGGTGTGCGTGCTAGCGGCGCTGATGTCCCGCGGGCATTGGAAGCAGCTGAAGCGTTATATCCGATATTCGCTGAACATGGGGTTCAATCAAAAGGAAATCTGCGAGGTGTTTTCCCAGGCCGGCTGGTATCGGGGCTGGCCTCATGTGGAAGATGCCCTGGAGCAGGCCCAGGCAGTGTTTGCGGAAGAACACGCTTAACGCGAGGTCTGATGGACGAGGAGGCAGTCTCAATGACAACCGTAACGGAGTTACAGGAAAAATCGGCGAAACTGCGGCAGGTTTTCGACCAGCATCTGCCTTACGCCAGGCCCACTCCGGTTTTGGCTGATTTCATACGGGTACAGCACGAGCTGATGTGGGGCGGCGTGTGGCTGGTAGACGGGTTGGACTTAAAACTGCGTAGTTTCGCAACCATTACGGCCCAGTGTGTCAACGGGTATGACTTTGGCGTTGAACACCAGGTTCGCACCGGCCTGACCGTCGGGATTACGGCGCAGCAGATCAAGGGGATATTCATACAGCTCCTGTTTTACGCCGGAGTGCCCGCCACCCTGTTCGGCCTTCGTATCGCCCAGGAAGTGATCGACGAGCGGGAGGATTGGAAATCGGGGGACGTGCCGTTGGACGTCGAGTGGTTGGTTTCATTGGAAGAGATGCTGGCAGAGGGCAAGGCCATACGAATTGCGAACTGGGGCGAACACGCCGATGCTGAAATCGAGCATTCGCTGGCTCGGCAGTTGGTTCCGGAGTCCGCAGAGTTGGTGGACGGTTATCACTTCGGAGAAGTGTGGAGGCGAGCCGACCTGGACCCTCGGGAACGCATGGTGTGCATTCTGGCGGCGTTGATGTGTCGCGGGCACATGAGGCAACTGAAACGTCACATTGGATACGCGCTGGACGCGGGGCTTGACGAGAAGCAGATTTGCGAAGTGTTCGCCCAGGCCGGCTGGTACCGGGGGTGGCCCTGCGTCGAGGACGCTCTGGAGCAGGCCAACGAGGTCTTTATCGGTCGGCGCGGCTGACCACCAATTCGAGTTTCTTGCAGCAGGCTCAACATCGGGAGAACGATATATTGGGAGAACGATATATGGACAGTGCAGCCGACCTGGCGCGAAAAGCGGCGAACCTCCATGCGTTTATCGATCAGTACGTGCCCCAGGGCCGTCTGACCGGGGCATTGCCGGACATCAGCAAGGACTATGTGAAGCTGCAGGAAGAAGTGATGTGGGGCGGAGTTTGGCAGGTGCCGGGCCTCGACGTGACGCTGCGAAGCCTGGCAACCATCGCGGCCCAGTGCTGCAACGGCTGGGAATTCGGTTTGCAGCACCAGATCAGGGTGGGCCTATCCTTGGGAATGTCACCGCAAAAGGTCAAGGGAATTTTCCTGCAGCTCATCTTTTACGCGGGAATACCAGCCACAGTGTCCTCGCTGGCCCAGGCGCAGCGGGTGATCAACGAGCAACCCATCTGGCAGCGTGAGGACAGCGAACCCCTGCAAGCAGAGTGGTTGGCGTCGGTGGAAGAAAAGCTGGCGAGAGGACGGCAGATCCGCGGCGAGAATTGGGGTCAGCAAGCCGTTGTAGACCTGGAAAACACGCTTTCCCACGAGCTGGCGCCGGAGACCGCAGCGCTGGTGGATGCTTACAATTACGGTGAGGTGTGGGCGCGCGGTGACCTGACCCCCAAGGAACGCACGGTGTGTATCCTGGTGGCGCTCATGTGCCGGGGCCACATGAAGCAACTGAGGGAGCACATTGGATACGCGCTCAACCTGGGCATGAGTCGGCGGGAGATCTGCGAGGTATTCTCGCAGGCCGGCTGGTATCGCGGATGGCCTTACGTGGAGGAGGCTCTGGAGCAGGCGGACGCGGTGTTCACGGAACGGAGTATCTGACGTTCGATGCAGTGTGGACGCGCCGCGATGCGTTAGGCGGTATGGATAACAGCAAGGTGGCAAAGGCGGCCGCGACCACGTCGCTGTGCTCCTCGCAATGACAGATTAAAGCGGGTACGCGTGAGGGGTGAATCCGGCTATACTCGTGGCCGGGCGGTTGGTTATACTCAGGAAAACCGCGATTGGGGAACACGAACGGTGTCCCCAAATCGGGGCCGCAGAACCGGCGGACTAAAGGAGAATTGTTATGGCGTACAACGGCGCGGGAGCTGTTTTGGATGGCGTGCGGGTTTTGGAGTTGGCCCGCTGGCAGGCGGCGCCGCGGGGCGGGTTGATCCTGCAGGACATGGGCGCGGAAGTGATCAAGCTGGAGTGGCGCAAAGGGGCGGATCTGCGAGATTCCGGGCCATTCGTGGGCAAGATGAGTGTCCAGTTCGCCGCATACAACCGGGGGAAAAAGAGCGTTACGCTGAACACGCGCCACGACAGGGGCAAGGACCTGTTCTTCCGGCTCCTAGAGGTTTCCGATGTGGTGCTGGAAAACTTCCGGCCGGGCACGATGGCCGAAATGGGGTTCGGCTACGACGAGCTATGCAAGGTGAATCCGGGCATCATCCTGGCATCGGTGTCGGGATTCGGGCAGTATGGTCCCTATCGTAACCGGCAGTGTTTCGACCCAATTATCCAGGCGATGAGCGGTTTCGGCGATCAGACCGGGCGGGGGTTTGACCAGCCCATCATGGGTAACGGCCCGGTGATGGACCGCACGGCTGCGCTTCATGCGGTGATCGGAATCCTGGGCGCGCTGCGTCACCGGGACCGGACCGGCGAGGGCCAGTGGCTGGAGGTGGCGATGCTGGACGGGGGGATTACCCTTGAGGAAGTTGCACTGGCCATGTGCTACGAAACCAACACCAACGATTTCCTGCGGGTGGGCACCTTTCTGCGTTGCAAGGATGGCTGGGTAACGACGGGGGCGGCTCGCGCCGGCATGTGGCAACGGATGCTCAAGGTGATGGATTACGACGAGATGTCTGAAGACCCTCAGTTTGCCGCGCCGATGTTTGCTACCGATATGGCAGAGGTACGCATGGAGTTGTTGCGCCTTTGGTGCGAGGAACGCACGGTCAAAGAGGTGGAGGACGCATTGGTGGCCGCCGACATTCCGTTCGGAGCGGTCAAGTCCATTCCGGAGGTTCTGGCCGACAGCCACATGTGGGAGCGTGAAGTGATGATGGAGGCGGAGATCCACGACCCGCCGGGAAAGAAGATGCTGGTTCCGGGTCCCACCATCATCAAGTTCTCCAAAACCCCCACGACCGCAGGACCCATCCCCAGGTATGGTGAGCATAACCAGGAGATTTACGGCGACCTGTTGGGCCTGACGGAGGGCGAGATGACGGACATGGTAGAGCAGGGAATCATAACCTGAGCCGGCGGGTTGGCCTCGGTCAGAAGCCGGCGGTCTAACCCGTAAGTTGTGCCGGTCAGCTTTGGATCGAGACCCTTGGACTGTCCAGTATCGGGACGTCCAATACGGCGCGCAGGGTATCAATGAGGCAGGCTATCCATGTGATCGAAGTGCGCCAATTGCAATGAGTTGCGTGCCGGTGTCGCTGCGCGCTGGCGGATGGATGGTTCACCGGGAGGTTGGTATGGCCAGGCTTGATGGAAAGGTTGCGATCGTGAGCGGCGGATCCCGCGGCATCGGGGAATGCACGGCCCGGCTATTTGCCGCCGAGGGCGCGTCTGTCTTGATCGGTGATGTGCTGGATGCCCTGGGTGACGCAGTTGCCGCCAGCATCGTTGCCGGAGGCGGGCGGTGCATCTACCAACATCTGGATGTTACGTCGGAGGCAGACTGGTCGGCCGGGGTAGCAAGAGCGTTGGCGCAATTTGGCGGATTGAACATTTTGGTCAACAACGCCGGGATCGGCAGCAGTCCGCACGGCATCGCCGACGAGCCGGCCGAGTCCTGGGACAGGACTATGGATGTGAACGCCAAGGGGGTGTTTTTGGGTACGCGGGCGGCCATACCGGCGATGCTGGATGCGGGAGGCGGGTCGATCGTAAACATCTCTTCGCAACTGGGCATCGTGGCGGTGCCGTACAGCGGATCGGCCTACCAGAGTTCCAAGGGAGCGGTGCGTCTTTTCACCAAATCGGCGGCCATCCAGTATGCTGCTGACGGAATCCGCGTGAATTCGGTGCATCCCGGGCCCATCGTTACCGAGATGACCAGGGCCGTTCGCGAGGACACGGACCGTTATCAAATGACGCTGACCCTGGTGCCGATGGGACGATACGGGGAACCGGCGGAGGTTGCTTACGCGATTTTGTACCTGGCGTCTGACGAATCTTCATTTGTAACGGGCAGTGAGGTCGTGGTGGACGGGGGTTGGACGGCGCAGTGACGCCGGCGCAGTACCGAATGATCGGGAATGCGGGAATGGGCGGTGCGTACCGACACCCGGGCCGGTCACGATCCGCGCGACGCCCGGCGATGCCTGATGTGGGCGGTGAGGGAAGACCCTTTGCGGCGATGGCGTGCTGGCTTGTCGAATACGTACACACGGGGATTGCAGCCCCGCGGTGTTATCGGCTTCTACCGATCAGATATTCGATGAGGGAAGGTCAGTTGCGAGAGCCAGCCCGATGTCGTTACGGGCTGGCGAACGATCCGGGAACCTGGATTCTAGTAGTGGCGCAGTTCGACCACGTTGTTGTCGGGATCGTAGATGTACAGGGAGATGCCGTCACCATGGGAACCCCAGCGCTTGCCGGGGCCGGCCTGAATGTCGACACCGAGGTCTTCAAAACGAGTCTTTAACTCTTCCATATCGGTGTAATCAATGACCATACAAAAATGGTCCTGGTTGCGAGCGTCGTCCCTGCTTTCGGGGATGCTGTCAGATGCGAAGAAGTCGATGATGGTGTCGGCGTTTATCCGCGCTGAAGGGAACCGCACTTCGCCGGCCCGCCATTGCTCCACACGCTCGGCCTCAAGGCCAAGCACTTCGGTATAGAAGCGCAGCGATCCTTCCACGTCCTTGGTTCGAAGGACGATGTGATCCATTTCGGTGATTTTCACCAGGGGTTTGGTCAGAATCTCGAACTTTGTTTCGGTAGCCATGGACGGCCTCCTGAAGTGTGGTGCGCTGGGGTCGGCCTTTGTTAGCGGCATTATATGGCGCACCCGGACACTTGTCATCTACACGCGACGGATTGGGCATATTTGACAGGTTCAAGATGATCCTTCGACGGGCTCAGGATGAGCGGGGACAGGTTCAGGATGAGCTGGGACAGGTTCAGGATGGGATCAAGTTTTGGTGAATGTGGACAATCCACACCTTCCGCCGTACCATTGCCAGCGAAACCGAAGGGAAGAAATCGCCGGGCTGGTGGTCAGTAGCTGGTGGTCAGTGTAAGAAGCGGCCGGCACCGGGCGACACACTGGGAACGAAAGGGTGATGGAATGCAGACACGGCAAATGACGGCCAATGCCTCACGGCTCATGGTGGAGCAATTGGCGGCGCTGGGCGTAAAGTACGTATTCAACAATTCGGGCTCCCGGGAGGCCCTGTTCTTCAACGAACTGCACTCCCGGCCGGATATTCACGGCATTCTTGGTCTGCACGAGGGTGCGGTTACGGCAATGGCTGGGGGATACACGCAGGCGAACCTGGCCCCCGCCGTGATGGTGGTGCATCTGGGCGCTGGTCTGGCACAGTGCATGGGGCAGCTCATCAACATTTGGACCGGCAGTCTGCCCGTGGTGGTAATCACATTCGCGGGCGACACCGGCAGCTTTGCCGATCTGATCAGCCTGGACGTGTCCCACAACGCCGGACCTACAGCCATCAGCGCACCGCTGACCAAGGCCAACTGGACGGTTATCGAGCCGGAGGGTCTGCCCGCTGCGGTGGAGCGCGCCATCCGGGTGGCGATGACCCCGCCGGTGGGGCCGGTGCATCTGGCCGTCTACGACCGATTGCTGGGGCCAACCGAGTATTCCGCGAATATTATGGACGGCCCAATCCCGCAGCTACGGAGCGGCTACCCATCGGACGCCGACGTGGAAGCCATCGCCAGGGCTCTTCGGGAAGCCAAGCGACCCCTGCTCTACACCGGAGATGGCATCTGGAAGAGCGGCGCCGACGCGGAAGTAACGGCGCTGGCAGAACGGTTTGGTATCCCCGTAGTGGGAGACCTGCGGGGTGTCCCAATCAAACATCCGCTGCACTGTGGGGGCAGAAGGCTGGAACAGGCGCCGGACATCGACCCGGACCTGATTCTGTGCTGGGGCGTGCGTCATAACCGCGCGGGCACCGCCGACGACTACGCGGCGTTCTTCAATGCCGAACGCACTATCGCGGTGGGTTCGGACGCCGAGAACCTGGAGAACATTCCCGGCCTTGATCTGGCGGTGCTGGCCGACGAAAAACGCGCGGCGCAACGTCTTTTGGAAATGACCGAGTCGTCGCACGACGAACTGTCAGAACGGCGGGCCTGGGCCCGTGAGGAAGCGGCTTCTCTGCGCGCCCGCAGGAGGGACGCGGCCCAGAGGATTTCTGCCCAAGAGGGAAGAGTGCGTCCGTTCGTTCTCGCCGACGCCCTGGACAACACCCTGGAGCGGCGTGGCGGCGGCCTGGTAACGATCGAGCAATTTGCCGTCGGTCAGGACCTTCTCCACAATTCCGGCGAGCTGGGAAACAACCAGTACATCCGCCCCGCCGGGGGTTCGGAGGGCTATGGAGTGGGTGCGGCCATCGGAGCCAAACTGGGCGCCCCCGACAAGCCGGTGGTCGGGCTGGTGGGCGACGGGTCCCTGTACTACTCGGACTCGGCGCTATGGACGGCAGCCAGCCACCACATTCCGGTGCTGTACGTGATCTCCAACAATGGAGCGTATGGCATCGTTGCCAGTTCCTTTGCCAACGCCAACGCCGACATGAAAGAGACCGGGGAGTACCGGGGCGTGGTGCTGGACAACATCGATCCGGTGAAGCTCGCCGAAGGATTCGGCGTGGAGGCGATGGACGCCACCGACGAGGCAACCATTGGCGATGCCATCGAGCAGGGGCTCAGGATTGTGGACGAAGAGAAGCGTCCCTTCCTGCTCAATGTCCACCTGCCCCTGGGGTTGCCGGAGGGCGGCCGGCCGGGCGCGATTTACAGCATGAAGGACGATGTCGCGTAGGTGATGCGGCGAGGGTTCGCCGGACAGCGATTGAGGGCAGTGGTGCAGTCTGAAACCCGACTGCACCGGCCTATCCGGTTTTCAGCGCCGTGAGCTTGCTGTCGATGCTCTCCGCCTCCACAGACAATTTTTCCCACTCGTCCCACAGCGAATCCGCCGCTTCCTTGAGCACGCGGTACTGCTCACCGTAAGCCGCAAGCTGAATGGGATCGCCGAACTCGTCGGGGCTGGAGAACAGGGTTTCCATCTCTGCCATGCGCGCCTCGTGGTTGGTCAACGAAACGTTGATCTCCTCGATTCGCGACGCCAGCCGGCGCGCTTCTCTCCCGAGAGAACGCTGCTGCTCCTCTTCGGCCCGGAGCGGCCTGCCGGTGCGTGTCCTTACGGCGCCCGTCGCTGGCGCAGTGGGGGATGATCCATTGACGGCGGGTTTGGTGTTCCTGATTTCGGATTCTTCCTGCTTGCGGGACAGATAGCTATCGTAGTCGCCGGGGAAAACCGTGGGCCGGCCGCCATCGATTTCGACGATCTTGTTGGCAACCTGCCGGATGAGGGTGCGGTCGTGGGTGATCAGGCATATTGTGCCGTGGTAGTCCCCCAGCGCGTCCGCAAGGATCTCCCTGGAAGCGATGTCAAGGTGGTTGGTTGGTTCGTCCATCAGCAGCAGATTGCTCGGTTGGAGGAGCAGCTTGGCCAGGGCCACGCGCGCCTTTTCCCCACCGGAGATCACCGATATCGGCTTGTTGACGTCGTCGCCGCTGAACAGGAATCCGCCCAGGGTGGTACGCAGGTTCTGCTCCGATTCCCTGGGGGCCGCCTGTTGCAACTCCTCGATGATTGTATTGTTCGGGTTGAGGAGCTCCAGCACGTGCTGGGCGTAATAGGCGGTAACCACGTTGTGGCCGGTTTTGCGTTCCCCCTCGTCAAACGGCAGGACGTCGGCGAGCATTTTCAACATGGTCGTTTTGCCGGCGCCGTTGGGTCCGACCAGGGCGACGCGATCGCCGCGGGTAAGGGAAAGGTTCATGCCGCGGTAGACCACATTGTCGCCGTAGAACTTGCTGACATTGGTGAGTGAGATGACTTCGGCGCCGCTGCGGGGAGGCTGTGGGAACGAGTAATGGATTTTTTTGGTCGCCCGGGGCAACTCGATGGGTTTTATTTTCTCCAGCTGCCTCAAACGGCTTTGCACCTGGCTGGCCTTGGTTGCCTTCGAGCGGAAGCGCTCCACAAAGCGCATCTGCTTCTGTAACTGGCGCTCCTGTCTGGCCGCGGCCGCCTGCTTGATCTGAAGGGAACGCTCGCGAGCGACCAGGTAATCGTCATAGTCGCCCCTGAGGATCACCACCTCAGCGGGCTCGATGGCAAGAATCCGGTTTGCCACCTGGTTCAGAAAAGCGCGGTCGTGGGAGGTGACTATCACCCCACCCTGAAATGCGGCCAGATACTTCTCAAACCAGAGGTTGGCATCGAGATCGAGATGGTTGGTTGGCTCGTCCAACAACAGTAGACCGGGCTTTCGGAACAGCAACCGGGCCAGTCCGGCCCGCATGACCCAGCCACCGCTGAACTCGCCCATTGTCCGGAGGAAGTCGCCCTGCTTAAATCCCAGGCCCGAGAGGATCGCCTTGGCTTCGTGCTCCCGGTCGCCCCCGCCGGCAGCCTCCAGCTCCATGTCAAGCTGGCTCAGTTGTTGCAGCAGATCGCCCTGCTTTTCGGGGTCGGCCTCCGAAGACAGGGCTTCCCGCGTGACGTTGATCCGGTCGGTGAGTTCAATCACCTCGGAGCTGGCGTCCAACACTTCCTGGAGCAGGGATTTGCCGGCAAACGTGGCAGGTTCCTGCCTGAGATAGCCGATAGTGGCGTTGCGTTGCCTGGATATGCTGCCGGTTTCCGGAGACGTATCGCCGGCCAGAATGTCCAAGAGTGTGGTCTTACCGGAACCGTTTGCCCCAATCAGCGCGACGCGGTCTCCGGCGGCCACGCTTATGGTGAGATCGCTGAACAGAGTCCTGTTTGAATAGGCTTTGCTGATGTTGGATGCAAATAGCATGATGTTTATAACGGTCTACTATTATATACACCCAATGCAGCCGGGATTCACATGGATGGACAGGATATTGGGCCGGGGTTTGCGGCGGGATTGCCCGGTGGCAGGCGCTGATCGCAATGACAGGGGTCCTTCGACGGGCTCAGGACGAACGGGCGGGTCACCCCCACGCAGCCCTCTCCCATCAAGGGAGAGGGGTTTTCCTTCGACGGGCTCAGGACGAACGGGCGGGTCACCCTCACCCCCGTATCAAGTACGGGGCAGGCTCCAACCCTCTCCCATCAAGGGAGAGGGGATGTCCTTCGACGGGCTCAGGATGAACGGGGGGGGTGGCGCAGCGAGATTGCCGCGTCGCTGCGCTTCTCGCAATGACAGGGGTCCTTCGACGGGCTCAGGACGAACGGGCGGGTCAGCCTCACCCCAACCCTCTCCCATCAAGGGAGAGGGGATGTCCTTCGACGGGCTCAGGACGAACGGCCCGGTGGGGCCGGACGGGATTGCCACGTCTCAGGGGTTTATTCGCTAGCCACCGCCATTGCGCCTACTGCGACGGTCGTGAGGCTGACTGGCAATGGTTGCCAGCTGAGGCCGCTGTCCTCACTGCAGAACAGCCCGCCGCCATCGGTGCCGGCGTACACCTTGTTTGCCTCCTGGGGGTCCCATTCGAAGGCGACGACCATGTCCTCCGGGTTCTCGCCCTCGCCGAGCCCGGCGACCAGCTGCCAGCTGCGCCCGCCGTCGGTGGAGCGGTAGAACTGGGGACTGCTACGCCTTGCGTTGGACGACACCGTAACCAAGACCAGGTCGGCGTCCTGGGGAGCCGCCGCTATGTGCAGAGTATAGCGACGGTCAAGACCTGAGTTGATCAACTCCCACTCACTGCCGCCATCGTCAGAACGGTAGGGAGCGCTGGCCGTGGCGACGTAAACGCTGCTGGGCCGGTTTTCGCTGAGGTTCACGCAGTGGATATCGTCGTCGAGACCCGGCAACTGCGTCCAACTTGCCCCGCCATCGTGGGAGGACACCATCCCTCCGACTTCGATACCGGCGTAAAGGCAGTTAGGGTCGTTGGGGGCGACGCGGAGGTCGCGAACGTGGGAGTCTCGGGTGGGCGAGTGGAATCCCCATTCGGCAGACTCCGGCACGGCTCGAAAGCCTCCGAATTCATCCCATGTTTTCCCGCCGTCTGATGAGCGGAAAACGGCCGCCGGTTCGCTGCCCACAAAGACGGTGTTGGCCTCGGCGGGATGGGCCAGCACGCTATGGGCGTAGTCGGTAGGGTAAGAGTCCAGATGGGACCACGTCAACCCACCGTCATCGGTTCGATACACGCCGGCCTCATACGCGGCGAGGTACGCCCGTTGAGGAGCAGCGGGACTGGAAGTCAACCGGGCCGCGGCGTGCGCCAGAGGCGTGACCGGTCCCTGTTGCCACGTTTTGCCGCCATCCTGGCTGAAGACGGCGCAAACGCCGTCGTGCATACCGACATAGATTCTCTTTTGCTGGGGCATTTCACTTCTCCTGATTTGAGGGGATAGGGAAGCGGGCGAGGACAGAAACTGAGTCGCAAGCCGGCGCGTTTTCAGACGTCGATGCGGTACACGCGGGTTGCGGTGTCGTGGAACAGATCGGCGCGTTCTGACGCTGAGTACTGTTGGGATAGCCGCTTGAACGCATTGAAGAGTACGTGGTACGAGTACGACACCTTGTCGGGTGGGAAGTTGCTCTCGAACATGCACCGGTTGGGTCCAAACTGCTCAATGCAATAGTTCATGTAGGGGCCGAGCCCGAGAGCCAGATCTTCCGATCCGATGGGAATGTCCCAGGTGTGCCAGTCGAAGCCGTAGCGAGGCTGCCCAATCCCACCCAGCTTGAGAACGATATTGGGGCACTGGGCGACAGCGGCAAGGCCCTCGCGCCAAGCGGGAATAACCTCGTCGTCGCGGTTGCCGTAGGAGCCGGTGCGGTAGAGACCTCCGATGTGGTTCAGCACGATGGTGAGATCGGGCACGGCGTTGGCGAATTCCACGAGTTCGGGCAACTGGGGGAAAAACACTGTACTTTCCAGTGACATGCCCTTGCTGGCCAATACGCGGGCGCCTTCCCTGAACTGGGGGTTGGCAAGGAGACCCCGCTCGGCCCGATCTTCCACGTCGGGATGCGGGTCCCAACCGGCGCCCTGGCGGATGCCACGGAAGCGATTGGGACTGGCGGCCTGGAGGGCATCCAGAACCGGCTCGACAGCGGCGCCGAGTCGCAGGTTGGCGTTGCCAATAATTGCAGCGGCCGCCCGGCACGGCCCATAGAGTCCGCTGGCGCTGGCGGCGGCCAACCCCTGCACAAATTCCACTTCACCCACCGAACGCAGTTCTTCCGGGCCGTCCTGCCGGTACATGGCGCGAGTCTCGATGAACACCGTTGAGCGCAAATTGTGGCCCGCTGTTGATGTCGGCGGCGAGTTCGTGGAGCAGGTATCGCTGGTAGGGGATGCGAATGTCGCGAAAGTCCCAAAAATGATGATGCGGATCGCAAATGGGAAGTTCGGGTTCCAGGATTTCTTCCTTGTTCAGGGCCAACCAGTCGTTTCCTCCAAAGGGCATAGCGTCACCTCCGTGAACATCGTGCTGGTTTTGTTGCACATAGTAGCGAGTCCGCACCGGGTACGCTACCAGCGGACGGGTTAATTTCGAGCCGCGGGCGGATACATCGGTAGCGATGCCGGAGAGCAGGCTGGACCACTATCGCGGCGGGGCCTGCTGGGCATGGTCGAAGAGTTTATCGGCCATTGCCACGATTTCGGTGCTCATGGTCAGTATTCGCCGCCATTCTGACGGAATTGCTTCAACGCCGTAATATGCCCCGCCGATTTGGCCGTAGATCGCGCCGGTGGTGTCCGCGTCGTCACCGAGGTTGACGGCCAGCAGCGCCCCTTCGCCGAAGTCCCTGGAATGGTGGAAGGCCCACAGCGCCGCTTCGAGAGCATCGACGACGTAGCCGGTACCGCGGATTTCCGGAGGATTCCGGCGCTGGAACGACCCGTCGGCGATGGCCGCAATCTTGTCCGCCAACGGGTTTATACTCCACCGGCCGTCCACCGGACAGTACGACGGGGAGAGGAGTAATTCCCGATCCAACCCCTGCAACGCGCCGACCAGCAGGCCAGCACCCAACAACAGTGCCGGTGCGACCCACTCCACCCCAACAATGAACGTAAATTGTCTTGTCGTCATCGAGAGCGGCGTCGATTGCGTCGAGGATGCTGTCCATCTGTTCGGGGCGTTCGGGAACGCTCAGGTCAACGATTGGATGCCGCTCGTAGACAACATCCCGGCCAATGCGGGTGGCTTCCCGCATCGCGATCTCCGCGTAGGGCATCAACTCCCCGGCCTCGGTAAGATCGATGAAATGATCGATGCCGGCGCTGAAAAAAGGACTGCAATCTTGCGGCAGCCCGCGCTGGCTGTTTGGCCCCGGGATACTCTCCCGCCGCAAACCGACCGGAGACGACCCAATAGCTGTTGGGCAAGGGCCTCGTTTCGCGGTGTGCCGCGCTCATGCTGCAACGCCTCCTAGCTCTGCGTCGATCTGGTGCGTTGCCTCGTAGAACGCGCAGTCTCGTAGCATTGAATCCACTCATCCACCGAGGTTCGGCCGACCGCCTCTCCGATCAGGTCGAGAGGCAGGTCGTCGAGTTTCCTGAAGCGGACGCATGACTTGCCCATGTTGAGCTTTTTGCCGGTGGCCTGGTAGCTATCAACGAACCACCGTTCGCTGTCGGCGTCCACGTAAATGCCCCATAAGATGGACCGATACGTAGTTCTTCTCGGACGAGATTGCCGCATAGCTCAGGGGATGGGCGTTGTAGGTTTTGGGATACCGTTCCAGCGGAACCACGTAGGCGATCATCCCAAAGTCCATCACCTCCTGGTACCCGGCGGGAAGGTTGGCAAGTACAACCTCGCGCACGGTCGAGACAGCGTCACGCCGTTCGGGAGTCAACTCGTCGAGATACTCGTTGACGGTGGCCGCGCTGCTTTTCACGATGCACCTCCTGAGACCCTGGATGCGGGGCGGTGTCCGGCGCCCCCCGGCATGGCGTATTCTACCGCACAGATCGTCGGGTGGGGTCGGTTGCCACGGTCTCCAATAGGCTTGGACACTGGATTCCTGCCTGCGCGGGAAAGACGAGAGCAATAGAATCAATATGCGATTGCCCTGGCGAGATTGCCGAGTGGCTTGACCGTCGTCCGAAGGCCAGCTTATGATGCCGCCATCCCGCCGGGGCTTTGTGTTTGGCTTACGGACATTCCAGACGCAAAGATCGGTGGTCAACGGAGCGCTGCCGCCGGCATGACCCGTGGCCACGGCCCGGGCTGGTTGGAACGGTGGAGTATCGGGCGGGATATGGCCCGCACTGTGTCTGCTACCCGTCTCTGTGAACCAGAGGCGCCACAAACCAAAGTTTCCATGACATTTATACGGCTAATGCCCGCAGGAATCCGCCCATGAACCCGGTGTACCTGGACTACAACGCAACCACCCCCGTCGATCCCAGCGTAGCCGAGGCGATGCTGCCCTACATTTACGAGCACTTCGGCAATCCATCCAGCGGCCACCTTTACGGGCGCAACGCCAACGAGGGTGTCAACGTGGCCCGCAACCAGGTGGCGGAAATGCTGGGATGCCATGCTGATGAGCTCATATTCACCAGCGGCGGCACCGAGTCCAACAACTACGCGATCAAGGGAGCGATGTCCGCCAACCGGAGCCGTGGCGACCACATGATTACCTCGGCGGTGGAACATCCGGCCGTAATCGAAGTGTGCAAATTCCTGGAGGCCCAGGGCTACCGCGTAACCTATCTGCCGGTGGATCAATACGGAATGGTTGACCCAGGGCAGGTTGAAGAGGCTATTACGCCGCAGACAACGCTCATCAGCATCATGCACGCCAACAACGAGGTGGGAACGATAGAGCCCATCGAGGAAATAGCCGAGATAGCCCACCGACACGGGGTGTTGCTACATGCCGATTGCGCCCAGTCAGTGGGCAAGATTCCGGCGCGCGTGGATGATCTTGGAGTGGACCTGCTATCGATAGCGGGACACAAGCTTTACGCCCCGAAGGGTATTGGGGCGCTGTACATCCGGAACGGGATATCGCTGGAGAAGCAGATGCACGGAGCGGGCCATGAAGGAGATTGGCGGGCGGGGCACCGAGAACGTCATCCACATGGCGGCGCTGGGGCGAGCGTGCGAATTGATCCAACACAACCTGCCCCAATACCAGCGGCACATGGCAAGTATGCGCGGCCGGTTGGAAGCGGGGTTGACGGCGGTCTTTGGAGAGATACGCATTAACGGGCACCCCAGCAAGCGCTTGCCCAACACCTCCAGCGTCAGCTTCAGGCGGGTGGAGGCGAATACCGTTCTGGCGGAGATGGAAGACCTGGCCGCTTCGGCGGGCGCCGCCTGTCACAGCGACCGGGTGGAGGTTTCCAGCGTGCTGGAGGCGATGGGCATCCCCCTGGAGTACGCGATGGGGACCCTGAGGTTTTCGGTGGGCCGGTTTACCACTGCCGAGGAAATCGACCGGGCCGTGGCCGAGGTTGCAAGAGTAGTGAGTCCCTATCTGGAAACGGCGGCGGTAGGGTGAATATGGCAGGTAACGGTTCACACTCGACGTGTGATTTCCATACCACTCCGTCATTCCGGCCTTGAGCCGGAATCCAGAGACGCCATTTAACCGCAATGTTGCTGATCCTCGGCTTCCTGGATTCCCGCGTTCGCGGGAAAGACAGGTTGGGGCCAGGATACTACCTTCAACTCTGAACATTTACTATGGCAGCGGTTGGGGTCACCCAAGTTTTCGCTTCATGGTAATTATCCGTTTGAATTTGAAGCGCCGCGCCTCAAGGGCCGGCGTTTCGCCAAGCCGCCGCGAAACCGCAGCGTTGAGAAGACCGATCGAATATCAGATCGCAAAAGGAGCCGGATAATGGCAGAGCTAGTTTTGGGTTTGGCATCTTCCCACAGTCCCCAACTGAGCACCCCGGCGGACGGATGGGCCGGCCGCGGCGAGCGGGATAAGGGCCACGTTGAGTTGATTGGCACCGACGGCATCACCTCCAACTACGAGGACCTGCTGGCCCGGATCGACACCAACCATATTGCCAAAGAGATCACCCAGGCCAAGTTTGAGCAGCGGCACCGGCAGAACCAGAAGGCCATCGCACATCTGTCGAAAAAGATGTACGACGCCAGACTGGACGTGCTGGTGATGGTTGGCGATGACCAGCACGAGTACCTGCTGGACGACAACATGCCCGCCTTCTGCGTTTATTGGGGCGACCAGGTGAAAGTAGCCGGTCACGAGGCTGGCCCGTCAACCGGCAATCAGCTGCTGATCGGCTATGCCACCGAAGATCGAATTGCGCCCACCGACCCCGCGTTGGCTCGGCATATCATAGATAGCCTGATGGACGATGAGTTCGATGTGGGAGTGTCCAGCTTCCTGGACCCAAACAAGGGAGGACGGGCCAAGGGCGGCATCGGTCATGCCTTTGGATATGTCTACAGCCGCCTGATGACCGAGGCGACGATCCCCACCGTGCCGGTGATGCTCAACACGTACTACCCGCCCAACCAGCCCACGCCGAAACGGTGTTACAACCTGGGACAGGCGCTGAAATCAGCCATCGAGTCTTGGCCACAGGACATCCGGGTGGGCATCCTGGCCTCCGGCGGCCTGAGCCACTTTGTGGTGGACGAGGAGCTGGACCACCAGGCGCTGCAGGGTATGAAGGCCAAGAGCGTTGAGCAGTTGTCCGCACTGCCCCGTGAGAAGATAAACTCCGGCAGCTCCGAAATACGCAACTGGATAGTGGTGACCGGAGCCACCGAGCATCTGGACATGGACATAGTGGACTACGTGCCGTGCTATCGCTCACCGGCTGGCACCGGCTGCGCGATGGGCTTTGCCACCTGGGGATAGTCGGTAAGCGGGCGGTTACACCCTAAGACCGGAGAGGTTTGGAAATCAGGGTTTTGATGCGTTCGGTGATGTCGGTCTGGTCGTAGGTGCGGAGCAGGTTGATCCGGTTGCGGTTGGGGTCACCACCGTGCCAGTACTCGTAAATCTCCTGCCGCATCCCGAACGATGAGACGGCGAGGTCGTGGGCCAAACGGAAGAGGCGAGACTTGTACTCCACGCCGACGCCTTTTCCGGGCATGTACCGGTCCAGGTAGGGACGGAATTCCGGGTTGGCCAGGTCGCCTTCGCTGGGCTGCATGATCATGCCGGATCCGGAAACTTCCCGCAGCAGCTCGACCATGCGGGCCGATGTTTGGGCGAAGTAGATGTTCATGCCCGACATTGAACCCAGGGACATCAGGCCGTTGTCAGCCGGGTAGGCGTTGTGCTCCACGCCGTCCATGGCGTGAGCCCACATTTCGGTGTAGGTGGCCATCTCGCCCAGCTTGGCCGCGACCTCGCGGTACTCGATCACACCGATGGCTTCGGCGATGAGGGTGGCGACAGCGGTCATCAACTTCATGCGCTGGTGGATGCGGCACAGGTTGCTCCAACCGCGAAAGTTGGCTTCGGAGCCGAGCCGCTGGAGCAGTGGGGCCGAGTCGTAGAGCATGAAAATCCGGTCCCAGGGCACCAGCACGTTATCGAAGAAAAGCATGGCGTCCTGTTCGTCGTACACTGCTGCCAATGGATGGCCGTAGCTGCCCGCCCATTGGGACACCGGTTCCCGACATAGGATCTTCAAGCCGGGGCTGTCGGTGGGAATTGAAAAAGCCAGGATGAACCGGGGGTCGGAGCGGCGTACGAAGGTGGCCGACAGGGACACGTAGGTTTCGTTGCTGATGGGGGCGGCGGTGGCCAGCTGCTTGGCGCCGTGAACGATGACGCCATCAGCGGTTTCCTCTACCACATGCAGGGCCACCTCCGTCTCCCCGTCGGCTCGGATTTCGTTCTGGGGCTGCTGACTGCGGTCAACCTGCGGGTCGCCCAGGGCGTGGGTCAGGAACAGGTCATTCTCCGCGCAGTACCGGTAGTAATTGGTGATGTTTTCGCCGAAGTCGCAATTGGGATTCTTCACCTGCCCCAGCGCATCGCGGATGGCGTAGAGGCCAAGGATGTGGGGCGCCAGAATGTCCGGGCTGCGCCCCAACTGGCCCCAGGATTCTTCATTCCAGATCTCGCTGTGGCGCCGCTGGAGCTTCAGGTCATCCGGAGTGCGGGGCAGGAGCCAGGAAAGGCTGCAACGGTTGCCCGTGTCGCGGGAAATGAATGTCATTTGGTCCCGGTATGGCTCACAGTGTTGCAGGTCGTAGATGCGGGAGAGTTCGTGGACCATGCCGGTCATGGCCGGATGACTGGCTACGTCGGTTACTTTGGCGCCGTCCAGCCAGACCTCGCGGTTATCACGCAGGCTTTCAATATATCGCGCGCCGGTCATGGCGCCCTGGGCTGATTCAATCTCCAGAACCATCATTTCCTCCGCGCTATTTTTGCCGCCGGCGAGATTGCCACGCTGGGCTGGCGATCACAAAGTGGTTTTCAGCCACGTGGCCGCGGCGTCCGGGTATCAGGTGCGGCTGTTGAAAACGTAATGGGGAGTACCGGCCGATGGCGGTCCACCGGCGGGCGACATGCTCGTGTAGAACCGCTCGACGTAGGGCGAAAGCCGCCCTGCCATCCTGCGGGTGGCCAGCGTCGCGGGTTCCAGGGGCCGGGACAGTTGTTCGCGCAACTCGCGAGCAACGTCGTCCTGGTTGACCCTCTGGTGCTGGCCGTTTTGCAGCAACACCTCGCCATCAACGATGACGGCAGCCACATCACCCGACCTGGCTCGGCCATGACCACTTCCAACGGAGGAGTATCGGGGGTCCAGTAGGGGCTTTCCAGCCTGTCTAGACGTATCAGCGCCAGGTCGGCCCGGCGGCCAGGCTCGAGCACGCCGATGTCTCCGGCGAAACCGGTGGGAAACCGCGCGTTGGCGGTCGCCATTGCCAGAACCCTGGTCGACGGTTATGGGGGCGCCGATGCCGGGTTTGGACGGTTGCAGTTTGCTGACAGTCGCATTTCCTGCCAGCAGATCGTCATCGTCGTTGATGGCGGGTGCTGTCGGTGCCTATGGCTACGTTGATCCCACCGGCCAGCATGGGGTTGACCGGGGCGATGCCGTTCTGAGCGCAGATTGGAGCTGGCGTTGTGGCAAACGGTGGAGCCGGGCCTCGGACAATATCTCGATGTCGCGTTCGGTGAGCCATACCGCGTGAGCAAAGGAAATCTCAGGGCCCAGGAATTCCAGGTCCCGCAGATGTTCCACCGGCGTTTTTCCCAGGTTCGAATTCCGTAGTCCTTCTGGTAGGCGCGCTTTCCACCAGGTGCATGTGAATGCCAGTTTGATAACGGGCGGCGTGTTCTCTGGTGCGCTGGAGAAACTCGTCGGAGTTCCATTGCACGTTGGCTGGGCTGAGCAGCACCCTGATCTTGCCGATTCGTGATCATGATACTGGTGGTAAGTATCATCAAAGAAGGCAAAGTAATCGTCGTCGGTCATATCGGCAGCGGACAGATAGCGGCGTACGTCGTCGGCCAGGTCTGCCGGCAACCCGGACAGGAAAGCGCCGTCATCGCCATACACCACCCGGTTCTGGTTGCGAAGGTAGCTGGAAAATGCCACGCGCATACCGGCGTCCAGGAAACCCCGTAGCACGGCATCCACATCTTCTTTCAGAGTGGCCGCGGCGGTCTGGGGGTGGTTGTACATCACGGTGGTGGTGCCCGACGCCATCATGTTCAGGGCGGTGTAGAGGGTCATGAGGTAGTGGTCGTAGGGACGACGTCCCCAGCCGGCCAGTATCCACATTTCCAGGCAATCGTCGCAGGTGCCCATCTGAAGAGTGGTTACGCCGCGACCGTGGTGATGGGAGTTGACCAGCCCGGGGATAATGGCGTAGTCCAGGCCGCCGAGTTCAACATCCGGCTGGTACTGGGCCCGGAGTGACTGCCAGGGGCCAACGTCTTTGATAACGCCGTCCTCCTGATACACCGCCGCATCGTAGAGTACGGTGGTTGCGCCGCCGGATCCAGAGGGGCTGAGCAGGTGCTTGCCGCGAATCAGTGAGGAAGCCATCCGATCACTCCGTCAATGGGATTGAGACTGGTACCACTCGATGATTTCAGACCCGGTGGCCGCCCAAACCGCGCCGGAGCCCATGATGTGACCCAGGGCCTGATCGACGCTGGCGATGCGGAAGGGCTGACCGACCAGCCAGGGATGCCAGTTCAGCGCCAGAAGACGGCCATTGGCGGCGCCGTCCTCGCGCAGGGTGTCAAAGCT